AATAAAACTATTAATTTCTTTAAAATGAAAATCTTGCTGACCCTAAATCTTTGAACCGTAGTGTGTGTGTGCTTAGTGGGTAGTTTGTGTAAATGGCTTGGATTTGTGACATTTAGATTACAAAAAATATTTTGACTGGTACCTGAACATATAGATTTGTTTCGGTGTTTGTTTTTTGGCTTTCAGGCGTGTGGTGAATCTGTTCCTCAACATAACCCAGCTGGGCTTCTGCTGCGTTTACTTTGTGTTCCTCAGCGACAATGTCAAACAGGTGAGAGAGCTTTAAATACAGAAGAAGAGACATTTTTTCAGATTTGAATAAAGGTTTTGTCCACATTAAAATAATATTCAGAATTGCACAGTATGCACACATAATGTCCTTTATTGTCATATTATTAAAAAATAAGAAACCAGAGAAAGCAGTAGTTTTCATCAAGGCCAACTGGTAGAACATGTGAATTCACAGTGAACTTATAAATAATATATTGATCTTTTTGGATAAAAGCTTCTGCCAAAATTCTGAAATGTAAATTCAACAGAAATACCGTGAGCAAATTTCTTTCCTCACCACAAGAGGGCAGCATTGCTTTTCAGTTCACTTGATGAAACAATCTGACAAATTTGCATCAACCAAAAAAAGATGTAAAATTCTCTTTCATATTGTTAAAGGATCATTGTTACCGCCATAAAAGAATCTTTCCATTGACTTGCATATTGTAGGTGGTTGAGACTGCAAACGCGACGACTGTGAACTGTCACAACAATGAAACCGCAGTGATTGTCCCCAGCTACGACTCTCGCCTCTACATGCTCTTCTTCCTGCCCTTTATCATTGTGTTGGTGTTTATCCGCAACCTCAAGTACTTGGTCCCTCTGTCGTTTGTAGCAAACATTTCCATGTGTGTCAGCCTGGTCCTCATATACTACTACTGTCTGACGGTAAGACACATTAAAGACACAACACACACTTAATATGGTGAAAGTGTATCAGTGTATGGCCTGAATTGCATTGCATGATTTTTCATAGTGATTAGTACCATATATGGTACATACTTAGTCCACAGTACAACATCCTGGGTGGACCAAAAAGTACAGTATTTGAACTCTTACGCCACATAATGTATGAATACATTACAAAATATTACAACAAAAATATTAAACCAAGTGTTGCTTATTTTTAACTAGGGTTGGGCCGATGCCATCATCCATCGCCTATGGCTGATAGACATCACGATGTTGAGCCGGCATCGTGACCCAACCCCCCCCCCCATCAGATACACTTATCAAGCAGAATGTTTGTTAGGTTTGAAACAATAGATACTTTGCTCCAAGCATTCCTCAGGACCAAGGCCTCTCCCCGGGCTACTGATTGAGTCTCAGATGTTATGGATGAAGAGTTAAGTGTCAATGACAGGTTTCAGGGTTGTTTTTTAGAGTGCATTTCTTATTGAACAGCTTAAAATGCCTTGAATCAGCCCCTGCGTCTGTAATCAGCATTGCAGCTTCTGAGAAACAAGCAAGAAGGTAACACATTTTTTCAGGATGGAAAGAAAATCTGTCATGGTGGAAAC